GTTGTGATCATTATTATTATTATTATTATTATTAAGAAGTACTCGATATGGTACAGGTTTAAAGACGCATTGCGGTTAGTGAGACTCGTTACGGTTACAGTGAGATAGAAGATGGTATTCTTAAGAAAGTTCTAGAAAAAGATTCTACTGGGTGAATTGCAAACAAGATGTGAAGGAATTGTGCAGAAAATGTGCAGTTTGTGCCACAAGCATAACTGGCCAGTAGGAAAGACGAAGGCAGTAATGGAGCAATACAATGTGTGTAATCCATTTTAGAATAGCTATTGATATCGCAGTCCCGGAGACAGATTCTGGAAACAAATAAATCTAGGGGCCATAGACCATTTCAGCAAATGAACAGAAGCATATGCGCTACCAAATCAAGAAGCCACTACGTTCTGGTTTTTATTTAACAGATTTGGAGTACCCCTGGAACTACAATCTGACTAGGGAAGAAACTTTGAGTCGGCGATATTTCAAAACCTGTGTAAATTATTGGACATTGGCACAAGATCCGCTGCTTTACACCCACAGACGGGCGGAATGGTAGAAGGCATAAATAGAACAATGGGGAAGTACCTGTCAAAAGTTGTGTCCGATCGCAAGCGTGATTGGGATGAATATCTGCATTTGTTCCTGGTGGCAAACCGTTCAGCGGTGCAGGAAAGTATAGGACAAAGACCAGCTTCCGTGTTGGTTGGCAGGGAGATCGGGGTAGCGTGTGATTTAATATTTGGTATAAAACCCGGCCAGGAAGAAACTGTCTGTAGCGAGTACGTGGAAAACCCGTGTCATAAATTGGATATAATCCATGACAAAGTTCGTCATAATATGCAGTGAGCATTAAAGTGCAGTACGGCGTGAAGGCCCACTGGTTATCAAGCTGGAGATCTGATTTAGTTGTATCGTCTCCAGATGGGGCGCTGGCTATCCTCGAAATTAAAAAAAAAACGCTTGGGAAAGACTATATATACTCTTACAGTCTTGAAGAGAATAAATATCGGATACGAAAACTACAACGAAAACCAGTGCCGCTACGTAGTGCATATAAATCTATTGGCCCCATACGCGGTACAGAACGAGCCCGAAGACCATCCAGAAGCAGCGAACGTGATGCAAACGAAACCACCACAGTCCACTTTCGCATAATTTATCGCACATTACTCCGGAACATAGAAGGCACGCTTTGGTGTTGTCCGTGAGGAATTTAAATACGCTGAAATCCACCTTCAACGTCCCGAGGTTTTTAAAGATCAAAGCGTGTTCCCTACAGGAGGTCGTGCACGTACCGCCATCAAGTTCTCGCTATAGAACAAGAGTTGCCTGGGACTGTCCCCGCTACAACCGTCGTCCGTATTGCGAGACGCAACAGTTTTAAGAGGAGGGAAACTCGCAAAGATTGGGATAAGGCTGCATGAACATGGAAATAAAGATCCGTTTACAAGTTTTCTTGTTGCTCTAAGTTTCTGGGAAATAACGCTTTGAAGAAAAAATGTTTCTCAAGTCCAAGCAGGAAGGTCGTCTGATTCTCCATCGGCAACATCCTTACACTTAAAAAAGGGGCAAATATCGAAAGGCACGCCTTGTTGAAGTATAGGGCTCAAATGTAAGAAACGCAGAGCATTAGTTATCCTCTACAATGTCATTTGTATCAAACATCCTTCCAGTTTCGCCCTGTTTTAATTCCCTGTTCAATACACCAGGGCATTTTTGTTACATGTATCTTACCAGCAATCTGTATAATTCAGGTATTCTATACAATTCCTAGAAGATGTGTATAATTGAGGGAAGGAAGGAATACACCATTGTATTAGTAATAAAAAATGTTACTCAATACAGTTGATGATGATTTCCCAAAGGAGAAACGTCTAAATGAAAATTTGTCGGCACTGTCTTGTGCCTATGAGGAAGTCTTATTTATTTTTTGATATCTTGTCAAACAGGACCAGAAAGAAATAAAAACGAATGTGGTTAATTTCGTTTTTTTTTTAATATCTCCGGAATTGATGGGAATTTCCGAATTTTTAAAACATCATTTTATTAAGCCCTAAAATATACAGCTTTTTTCTATTTAACCAACGGTGTATCGCTTATGGTTTCCGATTTCCCCATGCTGTTCATTCTCACCTTGGATTTCCGGAATAAATATAATATCGTGTCTACCGTAGTAATGTGGTCAAATTTTATTTCATTATTATCGAAATTTCATCTTTTATGTGGGAAGCTAATGCGAATAGATTTTTGACAATTTGTGCATAAGGGTGTTTTCAGTTTTGGGCTAGTAATGCTTGCTCAAGTTTTCGGTTCGATCTATTTTGTACAAAAACCTAATAATTAGCAACTGCCTTTACTTAACTTACTTACTGTGTAGTCGTGTAGGCACATGTTAAACAATATTTACTCGGATTTATGGCTCAGTGGTAGAGCATTGGGTTATAAATCCGAAGGTCGGGTGTTCGAACCTGAGTTGAGGTGAATTTTTCATCTGTGGCGGAGATGGAAATTACCTTAGACCAGTTCCGAGCATTTTACCGGCTGCTCCGAATTAGGTTTTCATGCAGTTTTCCTAATTCGTAAGGTAAATAGTAGTATAGATAGGCCAACTTAAGACCACAGATATATTTAAGTCTGTGTTAAGACCTTCTGCAGAGGCACCTCTAAATAGCATTATGCGGGTCACTCTGTAATTGGGCGCATGCCTGTTGAGGGCCCAAAACAAGAGAGGGACAAAATAAATAAAAAATAAATTACTCCAAATGGAGAATTGGTTTTTCGTTTCTATTTCAGCAAACCACATTGAACACTTTAACCCTAATATGTGATTTTTTGTTGTATTATTGAAACTAAGAAGTATGAGTTGCATTACCATCAGATTACTTTGAATTACCAAAACTACACTTAGAAGTACCTACTTGAGAACTGGTACAGTACTTCGAAGTAGGTGTATACATTTTTGAAAGTGAAATCCTCCGCGACCATTTCTTCAGTAAGATACTTTTGCTCCTATCATCCGTTAGGTATTTTTTTAGCAATGAGATTCTATGAACAATTCTAGTTCTTAGTAATAGGACCTATACACAGCATTTCGTACACGTAACTGCAAATAAACTCAAGTTGTAAAGATCACGATTTATCATTCCGTTTCAGACAATGGAAAGTATAGGGAAAACAACAACGGAAAACTTATCGGATAACATTAAATTAATAAAACGATTACAACTATTTACTTACATGCAAATGGGCAGGTTTGAGTTAGATTTTCATGTCTGGAAGCACAGTCTTTTATGAATATCTTTGAACGTAAGCAATTTATTATCACAATAGGGACGAATTGTTAAATAAATAACATGTAGACCCTGTTCAAAATTAAATATTTGCCGTACTACCATTCAAAAACAACAGCATCCAGTTTATGATTTTAAAATGGTTTCCATTTTACTAAAATTAATTATGAATTGCAAACTGTAAGGGCTTTTCTTTTTATTAATATTTAGTGTAGATATATATTCAACAAAAATGTGTATAAATGTCTAGAAAAGGGATATGATTGCCACGTCGCGACTGTGTTTCGTATACAGCAATAGGTACGCACTAAAATTCTGCTTGTACTGTTTCAGCTAACAAGTTCTACGTTCGGCACCGGGTCAGCGTCTAGATGCGCCTGGATGCTGGAGAGCAACATGCGTCGACGTTTCGATCTGACGATCTGGGGTGTCACCCGAATAATTCCCAGGAACTGATTTTGTATTCTGTTTTGTATTTAATATAATATTCATATGAAAGGATGTCTGTACATGAGGTTTACATGAAACTGAAAGTGTTTTTACTTTCCCCTGTTTCATATCTAAATGCTATTAGAAGCGCCTGTGTATTAAAGGTGGAAACGTACTATATAAATTAACAAAAATAGTTACTAAAACTGAGTGCTCAGACTTTTGTGACGATCCCTTTGGGAATGTTAGTTCGTGGCGAAAGGGGTATTGTCCCCAAGCTGAATGAAAAAATAAATTCCATTTTTTATGAGCTGCAACGGCGTGAACCCGTAATGGAAATCGGTTTCCAACATGATATACGGTTTTTGCGCACAACTTTTCCATCACATTCGGTGAGAGTGGTGTCTTATCTAAATCGCATTGTAGTTTTGAATTTTGATCCATCATGTCAGCGGTGTATATCTTTCATGCTCTATAAGAAAGATATAAGGACTATAACTATACTGTAAATTTATACGCATTTAAAAAAAAGCAGCAGGTTTAGGTACTTATTGAAAGGGCTCGACTATTACTTTATTATGATGAGGATGAGCCGAATTATTGGAGATAGGTACCGATATTGAGACCCACTTAACCTAGAAGAATTTCCAGATCGGTTTGAGTTATCTTAAAATTTACTAATTACTACTCTACTACCATTGAATAACGAAACGCTATACTAAGTACATATTTATCTACTAATTATCTTGCTGAGGAGGAAACAAAAATAGCATAGAGGTGAATATTCGCACCTTCATCTCCTTCAAACTCGAAATATTTTAAACAGATGGGTAACCCTCTATGTGTCACACATCATTGGAAAGCTTTTCAGAAATGACACCTCATCCACATTCATAACCCAAACGCAAACTCTAACACTTACCTACACAATGATACGAGTCCATTGGTAAGCTATAATCAACGGTCTAGGACATCTCGTCGTCGCCGTTTCGCCGTCGCCACTTCGCCGCCGCCATTTCGCCGTCGCCGCTTCGCCGCCGCCAATTCGCCGTCTCCATCCTGCCGTGGCCATTTCGCCATAGGCCATTTCGCCGTTAACATTTGCCGATTCTCCAATATTAACGCGTTATTATATAAATGCATTATCATTAAGTTATGATCACTCTTTCAGTATATGAATGAATTATGTTTACATTTAATTATGATAATTATTTATACTTACAGTGCGTCTTAGACATACAAATCGTGCCATGAAGTAATTTGAATCAAAGTCGTACTGTATAAATGTGAAAATAACTTTATTCTAATAAACAGTATGCCATTCATAAAGTATGCAAGTGCAATTACAGTTACATTATTAATATAATATTACATTATTATTGCCCCATTTGGTAATTATGGGCGATGCCCCGTAAATATTCTTCAATAGCTTCGTACTGAGCAAAGTTTCGTACAATTTGTAAAATTCTACGATCGGCGTCTCTATACCTTCTAAGTTTTTTAGGTGGATTGTTTCCCGCTACCAGTGATTCATAATAAATATCTCGGCCATGCTGCACCGCGCGCAAAGCGTCTATAAATTTCCACAAGGTAGGATCATTGAATTTATAACTATCAAATTCAATGGTAGGATGTAGAACACCTATACGTAACAGATTTTTAATAAAATTAACCAAGAACATATCATGCTGCTTACCTAATTCAGTCTGCAATCTCCGATGTGCAGCTTCTGAGTGATTGTTTGTACGATCTTCTTCATGTAGTGTGCGTTCGTACAAGTTCCATATTGAAGATTCAAATATGGGAGCCCGGCGACCATTTCCCCTTCTGTTAAGCCTTCCAACATAGTTATCCTCAAACCAATTAAGTAGAGGGTGCAATTCTGGAGGCAAGACATCAGCAAGGCTATCTAACGCTTCGTCCAGGTGGTCAAGCGGTACAAAAGAAATAGCGATCACCATTTTCGCCTTTAATGCAAATTCTGCGTCGGTGTTGTAAGTTTGAATTAAATTCAAGTCTGCCAATTTTTTTCTCATGTTCTTCGCAAGGTGGAAAAAGCAACCCTTTACAGATACATTTGGAAAACATTCCCTCATTGCTAACAATGCAGCTGATTCGTAATCGCAAAATATGCTGTCTGGATTCGCATTCTGTTGCATATTTTTAATTATGTTAAAAAAGCGAACATAAGTAGCCCTTAACTTATTGGGGAGGAGTGCGTATAGTACAGGGTGCACACCATTATGTTTTTTTACCATCAACACGTACACCTGCGCGTAAAGTGGGGGTGCAATTTTAAACGTTCCGTCAACAAACCATGTTTTAGAAGATAAATGAGCCAGCCAACTTTCACGGCCAAAGATTAATAAATCTTTGGTTTCTTGGAACAGTAAAAAGTTTTCATTTCTGCCGGGCTCTGCGTGGTATATTGTGTACTCGTCTGGTATAATTAATTCTTCGACACTCTGCGGATTGGGAGGTGCTCTTTTTAATTCGTTTCGCTGCCTTCGCACCATTTTCTTGAGAGCATAATTATTTGGCAGCGATGCTTGCGATGCTTGGGAAATATTAGATGTACACGCATTAAGTACCTGCAATAATTTTGATTTTATTGAATAAAGAAGGTATTACAGCATACTGATAAATGAATTATTGTTATTCTGACGTTTTAATGAATTTGAGAATAAGGGAAGGCATTATCAATTACAGTTTTTCAATATCTAAAGGCAATACAGGTATATTTAAAAAACTTATTTTTTGATATTCCAAAAAAAGAAAATAGATTGATAGGCAAGCGAGTTAAATTCTAATTTAGAAAAACCTTATTGTAAATCTTTCATTGTAAATTTGGCATAAGAATTCCTTATGTTGAAAATCACCATGCATACAAGTAAAAAAAATCACGAAAAGATACCTGACTTGTTTGTTCCATTGTCTCAACAGCACGTTTTCTTATTCTAGTAATCGTTTTTCCTACTTCAACTTTTGTGGCCGAAGAGTCGTGTGAATGGATATTTAACGTCTTCACCACCGTCTCATCACGTGTATGAATTCTGGCCTTACAACGACCACGCTCCTCACACCTCCAAAATTTAACATTTTCGTCACTTTTTGAAATAGAATCGAATATATATATAAAACCGCACAAACAAATTTTTCTTTGCCTCTGATACTAACTATTTCTGAATTCATAATTGTGTATTGTACAAAAGGCACAAATGAACTAAAATATTCCAAAATAATTACATAGTCTACTCTACCCCCCCTAATTATCTAAATCCGATTTTAACGATCCTACAAGATTAATGCAAAAAAGGATTGCTAACTTGGGTCAATAATACAAAAGATTCGGGAGTGTAATTAGAGAAGTACATCATTAATGACTAATTAACTGCTTAAATGACTGCAGTTATTTTCTTCATTGAATAAATAGCATGCTTTACTTTCTACTTTGAGTGAGAAAAACGGAACTTTAATCTGTACCGAGTAAAATGTATGGATAGGTTGACTTGAGTATTTTTATACGTTATTTTGTCAAAACGTAGATGAGATCTGAGGTGACAACTGACATCGCGGCATTTCTATTTCTAAAAAATTTTTATGTGTGGAAATATTATGCTTCGCACTCTTGCTCGTGCTCATTAAACCCTAGAATGTAATTAATAATGTGATTACCTTTACAAGAGCTAACACACATAGTATCAACATAGGAATTGTATCAGATTCATCGAAGTTGTATGTTCTTTTTTTTATAACAATATATCTTGGACTGACGGCGAAATGGTCAATGGCGAAACGGCGACGGCGGGATGGCATACGGCGAAATGGCGAAGGCGAAATAGCCACGGCGAAGTGGCGACGGTCAAATGGCGGCGGCGAAGTGGCGACGGCAAAACGGCGACGGCGAAACGTCCCATACCGATAATCAAAGCTTGTAGGTATAGGTAATGTTACCTATAACAAAATTAAAAAATCGTACAAGACGAATGACGTACAGAGAGATACTGTTGTATCTTGTTGTGAATAATTGCAAGAAATACTTAGAACACATTTTATAAATCACACATAAACATTTTACAATAAATATTACATTTGAAAATCTATCATGCATGACAGATGCCTACTTTGACATAAATACAACATCTTCCCTTTCTTTAAAAAAAATCAAAACAAACTTAAAACAAAACATTATTATGAGATTACATAATAGTTATTTATGTATTAAGGGCGTAATAGTGATGTTTATATTCTCGAGGGCGACGAGTTAAAAAGCGGCCTGAGAGCTTTTTAGTCGCCCGAGAGTATAAACATCAGTTTATGCTCGTGGTACATACACAATTTTATGTTTTACAAATAGTTTTCTTCGTCAAAATTCGTTTACAAAATAATTCATTATGCTTGATCGAGTATGCGTGGTTCGATTTTTTTAATGTGATTGAAAACATCCAAACGTCAAACATAATTTTAAATAATTCAATTCATCGTGAATGAGCAAGAAGTTAAAGAAACTATACGAAATAAGGCCAATCTTGTGATTTAGTAGGTATTGACAATTAATAATTGACGTTTCTAATTTTCAATGACCTGCAAATATTTGTTTGTTTTGTCATTAAGTATAAATGAGTTACTATGGTGATACTTAATGCCCTAGGGCTTAAAGTGGTACTTTATGCCCGCGTATCACAGATATAAAATGTGCTATGATGGGTTAGTAAGACATAAAATAATCTTTAAACTTATTCGGTAATTTAACAATCCGACCACTGTGTGTTGTAACGTTCACAAACATAACATAACAATTAGATATCATATTCTGTATGTTGCTTGACATGTCTGGCCAAAATACAATTTGTCTAGCACGTTGTTTGGTCTTAACAGTACCAAAATGCGAGGTTCATGAAGAAGCCGTAAAATATAGAATCTAAGTTTATCCGGGCCTATTAACCGGTGGTTTATAAATAACAAGACATCTTCGACAGATAATTCTGTTTGAAACTGATAATAGTATTTAATTGAACCGTCCATTAGTTCATTACTTTTAAGCCAGCCATTTGTAATATAGAACATTACCTTTAACAAAACTGGATGATTGGCAGTAGCCTGTATAAACTCCAACCTTTTAGCATCTGAAATATTTAAATTTTTGCTTAATCTATTGATCATCACCTTCGCTCTCTGGAAATTTAAGTAAAATCGTGAAAGCAAGTCGGCAATAAACATATATTTTCCTGGCAAGTAATTTAACATTAGTTTATATTTAAGAATTTTATTCTCATTCTTTGCAAACGCGATGAGGCGATATCTCCAATTTTTTTATTCATTAGAGATTCTGTCTCTAGAAACGGCACATATCAATAATTTCAAGATGTTTTCTTAGCAAGGTTCATTTTTCTTGGAGAAAGTGAGTTCCTAGTGAGAGTGTTGTCCTTTCCTCGGCTGGCAGGGGTCCGCTGGTATCCGCAAGGTGCCATTGTGACCGAATGCGAGGAACAGTGGACCTTGAACTGGTTGGAAAGGGCCGTCCCTCTTATTAGACCTTGGGTTGGCGCGTCTCTGAAAGTACACCATCTTGAACGTCCTGGGTTCAGGACGAGTCCATGGAGGACGTTCTTTCGCAGGGTAGGAGACTGGTAGAGCCTTCCTCGCATCTGGTGTCGATGAGCCATTCTGTCGATCACTCCAGCGGCAGAAAATTGCAGTAAATCAGTCCCTATTTGTTCTTGTAAAAAGCTCTTAATATCTTGCGTGGACTTTTAATGTGAACACTTTACTTGTATGTATAGTTAATTTATGAGAAACGCGCAATTTTTAATTTGATTTTCTGTATGGCATCTGGAACAGATGTTCAAATTAGAGTAGGCAGATTCATTCATATGAACGCCTGCGGTTTTCGAATTTACGTATATTTGCATAAGTCCCATAAACTCAATTATAAAGGGGCAGCAAACGATGAAATGCTTTCAACACTTTACCAAAATTGTCGTATTATGTAATTGTGTTATATAACCGACAAACTTTCAATTAATCAAAGTCATACCCTAATGGTTTTGAATGAATTGCTTTCTCCGTTTTTTTAGATAAACACCCCGAGATAAAGTTTCCGCGAAGTTTAAAGCTTTCCGGTTCATTTTTAAACATAAAAACTACGCTTTTAAGCTCTTTGGAAAATTTATCGTCTGCGTTCAGAATAACCAATATAGGAACTTCAAAATGCTCTAAGAATCTCTTCGTCCATTTCGCACATACATTGATCAAATCTTTTTTCTGTTTGTTCATGTCTTTAAATAAAACTTCATCTGAAATGTTAAAATAATTTACTGTAGTAGATATTGTCTAGCAGACAGCAAAAGGTGAGGTTTATGCTGAAATTATATAAAAATGGTGGGTAATGAAAGTGTACTTGCAAGTAAGCAATGTGGTTTTTGTAAAAAAGGTGCTGTTACCAAGATAGTGAAGTGTACAAATTGTAACACATGCTTTCATAGAAGCTGCTCCGCAAAAAAAACCAAAAACTGTTGTGATAATCCCAACCTCGTTGAGGAAAATCTGAATGATAACATGGATAACCTAGAAAACACTATAATGGCAGAAGATAATGCAACTGATACTATTACAATGGACGCAATAAAGTTTGAAAATAAATTGCTTAAGCAGATGAACCTTTATCTCAGAGAAAAAGAGAAACTATATAAGGAAAAAATCGAGTACCTGGAACTAGAAATCACTCTTTTGAAAGACCACCAAAAAAAAGAAGACGGTAATACAGAGGAGATAGCTTCGGTTAAAATAATCTCCGATACAATCAGGGATGAACTAAAAACTTTCCTTGCTGAAAATTACGCTAATCTATCTCGTGAAATAGATACGTTAAAATTGGCAATGGAACGCCAGACAAACGATGCTCCAAAGGATACCAAACACACGACAAAAGGGCAGACTAGCTACAAAGATGTTCTGATAGCATTGATGAACCCTCCACATCCCAAACCGGCAACTCCAACAATAGTAAACAAGGAGTCGTCACCATACTACAAGCAAGCGACATACCAAGAACAGAACATTCTACAGCTCGAAAAAACTCAAAGAAACATAATGAACAAGGTACTACACCTGCACGATACTGGCCACAATCAATACGCAAGTGGGAAAAGCCCAGTGGGCAGTGAATGTGAGAATTTTACACTAGTCAAAAGAAAAACGAGAGCGAGCAATGAAAATGCAAGTATCGCGGTATCAACGCTTCAAACCGAACAACCCAAAGCTGTTAAAACGGAAATACCAAAGAAAGCATTTCCGAAACGAGTTGGAACAGCTGCATGCTCCCAGGAGGGCTTTTCGGGCATACAACGAAAGGTGTGGCTTTACATATATCGAGTAAAGCCTCATGTAAATGAAGACATGATCCATGCCTACGTATCCAGCAAAGACGAATTAAAAGACGCAGCAGCGGAGGTAAAGGAAATCCCCTCAGAGCCTGGTAGATTGAAGAGGTTTGTAGTGTCAGCACCATTCGCCTTAAAAGATGTACTATACGACACGAACTTTTGGCCTGAAGGAGTCGGTATCAAAAGGTTCGATTTTTCAAAACATCCCAACGTGGCACCCAGAGGAGCGGATTTTCCCCAGCAATAAGCGCAGGCAACAATATCATCAACCAAACTACAACGATGAGCATACTCCATATAAACATTCAGTGTTTAAGCAACAAGATATCTATCCTTGATGCTTACCTAGCGGATAAAACCATAGCGATACTTTGTCTAAATGAACACTGGTTACGTTCTAGTGAACTCGAGTGCACATGTATCGAAAACTATAATAGTGCCTCTTCTTTTTGTCGGAAAATATATGCTCACGGTGGGGTTGGCATATATATCAGAAGTGACCTTAATTATACCCATTTGTCTTTAAATATTGCAAAGATGTCTCTTGAAAAGGACTTTGAAGTTGCTGGAATCTGCTATAATGGCATCCAAATAATAACTGTTTATAGGTCCCCGCTAGGCAACCTGGACGTATTTTTGCATTGTATGGCTGATTTACTACATA